TGGGACCCTAAACAGTGTTAATTCAAAAACTTTTCAACTATAAAGTCGTAGATCGCGTCGAGGGCTACAATTTTGATATAAAGTTTGTCTTCATTCGAGTTCATATAAAAAAGTTATGAATTATTTTTTCATATAAATTTTTAGATCATCCTGTTTTGACCCGGATGAGACTCAAAACCAAGTTTAGGTACCGGGATGACACAACTGAACAAGTTTGAGGACCGAAACGGGTGATTTGCAAGTTTAGGGACTGGGATAACACAGCCGAACAAGTTTAGGGACCAAGATGACAGATGAACAAGTTTGAGGACCTAAACGGTCGATTTACGAGTTTAGGGACCGAGATGACATAGCTGTACAAGTTTAGAGACCGCTGATGCACTTTACTCATGTTTAAAAGACATTCATGGATGCAGACACGTATGTATAGGGTTGACCGATGCAAAATAGTTTATAATCTGGAACAAATTTTAGGCCTTCAATATCTTGAGTATATCCGTGTATGTATCGGTCCAGGTCAGCTTAACTAGCAAGTTTAGTTAAGGTCAGTCTCAATAGAAGTTTCATGAAAATTTCATAGCATTAAATAAGCTGACATGACATAGAATAGATGAAAAAAAAATATGCTAAAAGTTGCATGGGATGAAACTCATCTATACTATTTCCAACACACAGTCTCAAAAATTGGAAGATGAAATCCCCCACTAAAACTGACCTAAGGAAGAAGGGTATAAAATCTACATACACAGAGGCATTGTAACATACATGACACAAACAAGGAAAACGACTAACATACAGGGACAAGTGGATTCTTAAAAGGGTTTTTTTTGGATGGGTACCATATATAGTTTTTCAACTTCTGAGATGCGTCACTACAATTCATCTATTGAAACCGTTTCAGTATAATTCTTTCGCTGCCAGAAATATGCCACTTTGTACGCTTCCCGAGTCCTTAGGCTCACCTACAGTTAATTGTATTCTCGTATTGCCCTAAATACCCCTCTACCTTTCTCATCTCCATGTGACTGATGTGTGGAACCCACCCATCATCTTCTTCAGGCCTCCAATGAGATGCCCCCACATTTACCACTTGCCAACAACATCGCCGAAGTTGCCACCGCCGTCGCTCCAATGGAAACCACTGTGCTGGCACCGGTGCATCCAAGCCCTCACTAAGACCGGCGTGTCCCTCCTCTCGGTGCAGGACATCTAGCCGCCTGAGCACCTCCCTTCTCCGTCGTCCTTCCTCGTCGTCGCCGCTGCACTCTCCATGCCGGTCGTCGACCTCTCTTCCCCCACCGTGGCCATCATCGTCTGTGCTGCATGCAAGGGCTAGGACGCCTTCCACAAAGTCGGCAATGCGTGCCATGGGAGCTCCTTGATGTGGTGGGCATCCCGCAGCAAGGCGTGAGGCTAGCGGCAGGGCTAGGAGGCGAAGAAGCGGCGGTGGCAGGAATCGCCGGGTCACACGGTGTTGGCGCGAGCTTGCGGTTGAGGGACTTTAGCGAGACCGGTGTGGGCATGAGTAAGAGCACTGTCGAGCTCCACGCAGGCATAGGACTGGCTGTGGCTCTGGCACGGAGGCCACATGAGTCCGGTTACGAAACCAGCGAAGGAAGAGAGGAGGAAGATGATGACACTGGAGCCCACATGTCAGTGATTTAGTGATGTGGGAGAAAGAGGGACAGAGGTATTTTAGGCAAGCTGAAATGATAATGCTTCCTGTAGGGCATCTGTCCGTCTGGACGACTCGCTTTGCCGGCCACATGCCCTGCCTGTCCGGATTCGCCCCACCCGCTCACTACCGGAAACCGGCTCTTTGACGAGTATTTTTATGTTTGTCGAGTGCATTCCCTCGGGCATTCGGCAAACAAGCTCTTTGCCGAGTGCTGCAAAAAAACACTCGGCAAATAAACTCTTTGACGAGTGCTGAAAAAAACACTAGGCAACCTCTGGCGAGTGTTTTTTTTTTGCACTCGGCAAAGAAGTAAGTTTGCCGAGTGTTTTTTTGGCACTCGGCAAAGAAATAAGTTTTTCCCTCTTCTAACCTTCAAACTTTTTCTACACTCCACATAGAACATGTGGTACTCCATGTTAAAATTTGGTATATGTCTGGATCTGTTTGCTATATTTAATTAATTTATTGCATTTCAAGCAATTTTTTCAATCAAGTCAAATTTGAACCGCAAGTGATTCAAATAATAGAATAAAATGAGTAGAAAATCGTATTCATGTTATTGAGTCCAGTGTGAGGCTTTACCCGGGAAATGAAAAGAAATTTTGAACATCTTGTTCAGGAAATATGATCACGAACGTGTGGCCGAATGGTTTTTAAATTCTAAAAAACGCAAACGAAGTCTGAAAATCATGAGATTTATCATGATGTGATGATATCATACGTGGAGGCTATGGTAAAAATTGAGAAGGTCTTACATAATTTGTCACGTACAATGTTTACAAACCGAAGCATCTCAGAAGAAGAATTGTAGCATTGAGAAGGATTCAGTAAGATTTGGAGTCAAAGTGATGGTCAAATTGGAGTTTGACTTCAAAACTTTTTCTTTAGGCAATAGAGAACATAGATTGTTTCATGTGATATTTTGGTAATTTTTTAGATCTGTTTGATCATTTTAATTTATTAAGTGCAATTATAGAATTTTAATTAATATAAATTGAATTTGAGCTATAACTGCATGAAATAATAGAATAATATTCATAGAAAAATCATATATATATATATATATATATATATTGTTGAGTCAATTTGACAGGGTATTTTCAAAGTACATCAGAACAAATTTAGAAAAAAAACGTTATGGAAAAGATGGAAGAGGAGGGAAAAAAGTTTTGCCCTCGGCAAACACTGCTTTGCCGAATGTCCGATCTAGGACACTCGGCAAAGCTCCTATACTATAACTCATGCACCCCGCCACCGCCCCCACGCACAAACGCACCCCGCCGCCGCCCCTCCCCTCCCTCCCTCTCCAAGCCCCCTCCCTCCCTCTCCCTGCCCCCGCAGCCAACTCTCGACGCCGGCCCCCCTCCCTTCCTCTCCCGGGCCCTCCTGTCCCGGCGGAGGGGACGGCACCCCCAAGCCCCATCGGCGGCGCGCGGGCCAGGGGCGAGCTGCAGCCCCCTAGCCGAGAGCGGCGACGCGTGGTCCAGGGGCGAGCTCCCCCCGCAGGAGTGGCGGCGTGGGGCCACGAGGAGCTTCCCCATCGAGGGCGGCGGCGCGCGGGCCCCTACGGTGACCCCCCCCCCCGCTCTCTCTCTCCCTCTTCTTACCCCTTTTGCGCAGGGACGTGGCGGCGGTGGCAGCCGTGGCGGCAGTGTGGTGGTGGCGGCATGGTGGCACGGGTTTTTTTATATTTTTCGAAAATTCTTTGCCGAGTGTCGGTTTAGCACTCTGCAAAGTGTTTGTCGAGTGCTCAACAAAAAACACTTGGCAAAGACAACTTTGCCGAGTCTTTATTCGCCGAGTGTCGTTTGCCGAGTGTAACACTCGGCAAAGCCTTTACCGAGTGTTGTTTGGGCTTCGCCATGTGCCTTGGACACACGGCAAAGCTACTGATTCCGGTAGTGGCTGCGGCCGCCTCCACGCCGCCGCCCGCCGCGGCCGCCTCCACCGTGCCACTCGCCCAAATTCGCCCAATCAGTAAGATGTTGCACTAAAAGTGCATGTTGTAAACATGTGTTTCAGATGCTTTAGAGATATGTTGTAAGTGTTTATATGGATGTTGCAAAAGTAGTTCTGGATGTTGTATATGTTGCAATGGCTATATATGCATGTTGCAAATGTATGTTTGAAATGTTTCATCTATTTCAGACAAATATTGCAAATGTTTTATCTGGATGTTGCATATGTTGCAGTTGCAAGTGTATGTTTGTTTCAGTTGTTTCAGACGTATGTTACAAGTGTTTCATGTTTTAAGCGTATTCTCTTGTATGACAAGACTGGAGTCACGTGGCGCGCATCCGTAGGCGGGGCGCGTGTGGATTCCTGCGTGCATGCACGAAACAGAGCAGACGCAGGCTCCCCACGTGCGCGTGGGAAACAGGGCGAGCGTGGGCGGTCCCTGAGTGCGCGCCGGAGCAGGGGCGGGCGTCCGAATGCAAGCGTCTGTCTAGGCGCTAGCTCTACCGAATATGAAAATATATTGATCTGTAGGTGGATCCAAGGTCTAGAAAAATGTATAAAGTGACATATTACTGGCAACGAAAGAATTAGAATAGCACGGTTCTGAATAGATGAACGGTAGTGACTTATCCTAAAAGTTGGAAAATTACAGTGGCACCCGTAAAAAAAAACTTCTTAAAATAGCCTCCGGCGACAGTGAGCCACGGCAGTACACTGTACACCACTAGACCCGCTCCTCCTCTACTGTCCGTACCTACCATAATCATGCGGCACTAAACCCTTCTTATATTAATGATATATGTGCTGAAGAAACGTCATGCAGCACCACCACCAGGAGAAAACAGCTGTGTTCTAAGTTGCTGTCCCCAGCCAAAGTCACAGTAACCACTTCTTCGACCTTTCTTACATTCATTTCTCGTGGTCATTTTGGAAAGTGATGACTAGTGGATGTTCCTGTGCAGATTGTACTTTTTCCAAAATTAAAGTAGACGCCTTATAGTTATTTAACTGGAATAAATTCTGAGCCTCACAATGTGCTGCTTTTACTGGAACACTGTTTTTGCGTCAGAATCGACTGAATATCGAATCTATTGTTCGCGTCAGTCATCAAACCGCAGGCAACCTGTATATATCAAGTTTGATGTTAATCTTGTTAGAGGGTCGCTTCGTACCTATCAAGTTTGATGTATGCTGACGCAAAAGGACGCTCCACTATACTGCATGCAAGAACCCACCATCTTTGATTATATATAAAGAGCCATGTCCGTGCATTATATAATTCCCAGAATCTGCCCTGCTCGATTATATAAAAAAGCATGCATGTCCAGGAGTCCCAACAGACGACCGCTGTAGGCCTGTAGAAATGGGCAACAGAGCAGCTTTCGTGGTTGCATTTCTCCTCAGGGCTATATATGGAGGCATGCAGATAGTAACCAAGGCTGCTTTCGATGAAGGCATGAGCACGTCGGTCTTTGTTTTCTACAGGCATCTAACTGGAATTCTCTTCTTGGTGCCCATTGCTTTTGTGCTTGAAAGGTAACCAATCAATCAATTCGACTCATGCTTGTTACTATATAGCTAGCTAGCTGCTTGCATGACACCATGGGAGAAGAATGAACTGAGGCTTCTTTTTTTTTGCAGGAAAACTGCTCCGCCACTGTCATTCAAAGTCTCTCTGAAATTGTTTTTTCATGCACTCTACGGGTAGGGGAAAATGGGATTCATTCTTATTTATTTGATTTCATCGGCTTATGACCTGAGATTTATTTGGAACACCAGCGGTTCTCAACCTTTTTATACGTGCGCTGCTTTCAATCAATAAAGCAATAGTAGTTTTGTCTCTTCATGTTTAACCACACAGGTTTCGTAATCTTAAGTTTTAGAAGCTCCTGTCAGCCACCTATGCTATGACTTCATTTGAGTGCACATCTTTCCTGTCAGTCATGTGTCCATTTCTCTTCTTTTCTGGGTTGAAGTGCAGGATTTGATAATTCCTCCCTTAATTTTCTTAGCCACCAATGCGGTGGATTCTACTTAAATATTTATATATTTAATTAACAACCAACAAAAAGATAACATTAACATGTCCTGATGAACAGATTCGGCTTATGCATGCTCTGTTTGATTTATGTTTCTCAACTTATAGTTATAGATATGTGATATGTGCAGAACTTATCAAAAGTTTGCTATTTGAGCTCAATGGATTGTTCTGTTAGTAAATGGTAGTACTATTTAGCGAGTTTTTCTAGTTCAGTTTGTGTCCTTTGTTACACTTACATACAGCACAGTCATTAATAATTGCATCCTTTTTTTATATAGGAAGGATTTTATTAATTTCACAATTATTACATCGAGTTGATACAATAAAAGTGAATTCACTTCTGCCTTGTGCCTAAACACAAAGCTGCATATATGTTTTCTTATTTTAGGATTGCTGGAGCAATAAACATATATGGCCTTGGTCTCAGTTATTCTTCAGCAACATCATCATCTGCAATATTTAACCTCCTGCCAGCTGTGGCTTTCTTTCTGGCTGTTGTTTTGGGGTGAGCATCTTCATTTTCGTACTTCCATTATTTCCTTGTAATAAGATTGGAATTCTGGATCCATAATATCAGGTTTCGAGGATTCTAATTTTGGACAAAACAAGGCAGAGCGCAAGCTGTACCTTGCCTCCTATAGTTTGCCTTGTGCATAATGCCATAATCTCCTCCTATAAGATCCGGCTTATATGACATCAATCAGAGTAATTTTGAATCCAGAAAGATGAATCTTGATTCTTAGATTACCACTGCCTCAGGACTCCTGTTGGCACATGCCAAGATTTTGTAGGAGTTTTACTTCAATTCCTTTTGACAGTAGCTGCCATAGGAAGTTAGGAAATCACCCACCCACACCAGCCCTGCAGCCCCGGCACATACTGTTCCTACCAAAGTAACATGCAAAGCGGCAAGACAAAGGGACTTGAATCTCTCTAACAAAAAAAAATTAATGTATGTTAGATATAATTAATTTCTTTTCAGAGAAATGTGTAATATGCAAAATACATAAAGCGACGGTCACACAAATGCATGGATGATGATTACGTCTTGAGAAGAGTGCTGAAACTGTCATATCTTGAGTCATTTTTTTGTGAATGATCTGGAAAAGTTTTGAGTTCAGCATGATCTGTGTTTCCGACCTGACAAACTTTAACAGTTGGAATATTCATAATTTTACATTTGGTAGGATGGAGACTTTGAACTTGAAGAGATTCCATGGGATTGCAAAAGCTTCAGGCGTATTGTTTAGCATTGCTGGCGTGATTGTACTTGCATTTTACCAAGGACCAGCATTCAGATCATTCATCCACCATAACCCTTTTCATCACACAAGTAACTCCCATGCTGGGGTTACTGCACATCCTGAAAGGGTTTGGATATTTGGAATTTTCTTGACGACTTTATCAACTACATCATGGGCTCTTTGGACAGTTCTTCAGGTAAGAATGTGTCTCGGAGCTTCATTTATTTATACGTTCAGTGATCATAGCAGATGCAGATCAAATGACAGTCTTTGCTTGCTCATGATATTTACCTACACAGTAATTGTTTCTCAGGGGCCTATGCTGGAAGCATATCCATCTAAGTTGCTCAACACAACCCTCCAGATGATCTTTGCAACAATTCAGTGTTTCTTCATCGCCCTAGCGGCCGAGAGGGATTTTTCAAAATGGAAGCTAGCGCTGGACATACGTCTTTTTGCTGTGTTGTACTCTGTAAGTTCAATATCTCTTCACCAGATTGTGTTACAAGTATATGTTTTTACTTTTTTGGTAGCAACAGACGAATAGCTAGTTCTGAACTTGTCATATTTCCAAGGTGTTGCATGAAGATGCGAAAATTAGTAATACATAGCATAGCACATTAAACTAAGAAAGTTTTAAGACGAAGTTTTATCCCTGTTGACCCAAATGGGACAAAGGTAATGGTACGTAGTAATATGCCAAACTGTATTTCCATGCTCAGCTCATCTGAAACTGAGGTTCGCCACTTCTCCTAAGCTCATGCAATGTTTGGACTTTGGAGTGTGAGGATTTCACATGAGACCTTGTTTGGATGCACTGTATCCACATCAATTCATTGTGTTGGAGTGGATGTGCATCCAAACAAGGCCAAACAGTTCTATCCTCACAGATCTGAAAAGAATACTAGCTTTGCCCATCCAGAATTTTGTACTGCACGCAGGGCAAAACACCGGTCAGGACAAACCACACGAAACGATAGGTCCAGATAAGAATTGAAGTCATAGTATTAGCTTTATTCCTTTATAAGTGTTCATTCAAGCACATTCCATCACAGTAATATTAGTATGTTTTCTTCATGTTGTTACATTCTGCACTTGTATTACTGCGTTTCTCTAGCCATCAATCTCATTTCCAGACACATCGCAAATGACCTGTGGTAAGTAGAGCACGACCAATGTGAATGTGATGCTAGCATATCTCAAACTTCTGAACACATGATACAGGGAATACTTGTCTCAGGAGTTGCGTATTATATGCAAGTATGGGTCATTGAAAAGAGCGGGCCTGTTTTCTTGGCCATGACAATGCCAATAACCTTGCTTGTCACAATTGTTCTGTCTTTGTTTCTCGGAGAAGCGGTTACCCTGGGAAGGTGTGTGTGTCTTCTGCTTACTAGCAGTTCCTTAATACCCTCAATTCTCTTTAAACAATGGTGATGATTTACAATTTGCATTGTAACCCGGAACTCCTCATGTCCCCTGCAGTATCTTAGGTGGAGTAATCATGGTTGGTGGTCTGTACAGTGTCCTTTGGGCCAAGAGGTCTGAGCAAGTGGATGCCAGCAAGCAACAAATGGCGCCTACTCCAGCAGAGACAACACAAGTTTAGGTTCAACTTAGCTTATTATGGCTGCACACCCGTGCTCAATGGTAGTTTCAGGCTGGTTTGTATTTTTGGAGTTACTGAAATTGAGAGAACGGTAAAGTTATGTAGTCTTCTTCCAATATATGGCATCAATTCTTTAAGCTTGGAATGCTCAGACTTAGTTCTCAGGTTTTGTGCACTATTCATTTATTTTGGCAAATGTAAATACAGTAACATAAGTGAGATCAAGCAAGGAAATGAAAACTCCTGAGACGAGGTGATATATCCCGTAGTGTCAGTTTACCAAAACATAACCCTTAGTCCATGTTAGAGCCTCTTATGAAAAAATAGCATTCGTCACTGAATGCCACTGCCCTTTGTTTATGATGATTTATACTTGTTATACACCCTACAAAACGTCATCAAACATGATGCTGTAATGACAATTTGGTCAGCTGTCATGATAAAAAAATGGCATAGAATGTCACACTTGTTGTACTGTCCACCTTTGTGACTTGGCTCCCTGCCATTCGGCAAGGTCGAGAAATCCATCCTCCCTATCCTTCAGTTTGACTCGGATGAGAAGAGCATGGGAAGCTTACGCCCTTCTCAAGATGTTTTCATGGCTGGTCCCATCCTCTCGGCGCTAGAATTGTCAACATTGCGACCCCGAGCAGCATGTTACTACCGGATTCAGCTTCTTTGCCGAGTGTCTCAGGCCAATATACACTCAGCAAAGCCTTTACCGAGTGTTACACTCGACAAAGGACGCTCGGTAAACAGTTTATCGGCAAAGACCTCTTTACCGAGTGCACTTTATCGGGCACTCGGCAAAGAAAAGTTGTCGTGACGGCGAGCGCCACCGTGACGGTGGCTTTGCCGAGTGTCAAAGTCAAGCACTCGGCAAAGGTCGCCGCTTTGCCGAGCGCCGTTGACTCAGACACTCGCAAAGGTGGCCACTGTGCCGAGTGCCACCGGTAAGACACTCGGCAAAGGTAGCCTATTTGCCGAGTGTCCTGTCAAGACACTCAGCAAACAGGCGACCTTTGCCGAGTGCCTGGCCCGTGGCACTCGGCAAATCTGTGATGTTTGCCGAGTGCAATGGCCTTTGCACTCGACAAAGCATGTTCCCAGGTAGTCACTTTGCCGAGTATCATGGCCATTGTACTCGGCAAAGTGACTGGAAACAGCCTTTTTATTGGTTTTTTACACCATCCAAACAAACAGAAGATATATATAACAAACATTACCAATATCACATATATGTCATCAGCAGCACATATATATCACCAACACCACATATATATCACAAACGTCACATGTCTCACAATATATCACAAATAAGTTCACAAGTAATCAAAGTGCTCCATCATCTACAACCACAATTGCAAATAGAAGTACCATTAACAACCACAGGTATCATCACCAAGATGGCCAATAAGACTGATTTGGTGAAGGATTCGCTGAAGCATGAGGATCGTTCGATGCCGCTGATTGATTCTGCACAAAGAAGAAGAGATTGCATATGTGAGACAAGATAAATATATACCATACATGAATAAAACTTTCATACTCCACTAGGTTTGACCGTAAGCATGAACATACAAACTAAAACATTTATACTCACAGGAGTAGAATAGTGAGGAGGTGGAGGTGGAGATGGAGCGAATAGCGAAGGTGGCGGAACTACACCCGTAGCGGCGCCAAGACTTTGCATGTACTGAAGAATCTCCGCCATCCTCCGCTGCTCGGCCTCCCGCTCGGCCTCCACCCTCTCCATCTTCGCCTGCATCTGCTCCCATATCCTCCTCTCTTGTTTCAGCTGGGCCTACAATATATTCATCCCAATGTTATAATAATACAAAGGAAAGGTATGAAAAAACCAATGAACGATGAATAAACCAGGAATAACCTCGAGTGCCTCCACCCGGTGGTGTGAAGTGTCCTGCCGAGGTCGTATGGCCGGGCTCATGCTCGTGTTGCTTGCTCAAATCTGGGAGAGACTGGGAGTAGCGGCCGAGTCGATTGCGCCGCCGCCAATCCAGTACCGCCCATGCTTCTTGCCTCCTCCCACCCTCATGACGACTTCTCCATCAAGGTCCTCGGTGCTCGGATCATACTCTGGCCCATGGACCTCCCTTGCCATCGATGTGTACTCACTGAGGTGGTTGTGGACGGTCGCATTGTTGTACGTCTCAGGCCCGTCCTCCGGGTTGTAGTCGACGTCGGACGTCGCCTTGCCCTTGTGGGCCATAGCAAATGCCTTGAAGATGGAGCAAGGCTGGCCACCATGTGACGCCGACTGCGAGAAAAATAGCAAGACGATTAGAAATCATGCAGAATTGAGCGTTAGAATAAATAAATGAATTCGCGTACCCATGTTTCTACGTATCCGCTGAGGCTGTGGCTGTCTTGATGGTGTGCTACACCTGGCATCATCAAACGCCGCTCCCGGCACAAGTTGTGCATCTCCTCCCACTCGCGTGAGCACCACTTGTCCACCATCTGTACCCAGCACCGAGGATGCGCGGCGCACCAATAAGGAATCATCTATAGGCCATCAAGTACATGACATATCAGAAGATGAAATTAAGCCTACTTAATCTCAAAAGGAATCAGTATTAATGTTCTGTATTTACCTGTAGGTACTGGTCCCGGGTCAGCGTCATGGTTCTTGCGTCCCTTTTGGTGACCTTCGTTCCAAGGACGGCCCCGTGGTAAGTTACGACGGCCTGGATGCGCGCCTCATAATGCATGTCCACGATGAGTTTTTTGCAGCATTTGGTAGCCACCACATCCGCCCTGGCCTCATGTCCGTCCTGGCATCTAAAGAAATCCTGCATACAAACACGATGTATCCATTCATTATTTCAAGAATGTCCAATGAATGCGATGTATTAAGCAATGTAGTACGAGGAAGACTTACCCACAACTCTTACTTCACCCGCTACGCCTTGTTGTTGAATACCCTGCGGGCCTGATCTGCATAGTGGTCAAACGAGTAGGCCGGCCCCGTCACTCCGGCGTACTCAACCAGGCCAGGGAAGTGCTCCTTGCACAGAAGACCGAGGATGCCATTGACTTGGCATGTGTGAGCACCTCCACTCGCCACAATCGTCCAGTTCCTACCCAAGTGATTAAGAAAAATCATTAGTTTCTATTTTGATTTTCAACATATCATATAAAGTAGTGATAACATCTAAAGTTACTTACTTTTCCCCCTCAAGTCGAATCAGCGGGCGTCTCTCATGAGGTATCGGTCGCTGAGGGAGGCTCGCGGGACCTCGCAAGTAGACGCTCGATGAACTAGAGGAAGCGGAACCCCCTACTGTCGCCTCCTCCTCCTCGTCCTCCTGCGCCTCCTTGGCATCCTCCTGGGGCACCTGCTCCTCCTCCTCCTCCTCACGCGACGGGGCGGTAGGCGACGGCTCCCTCCTACGGCTGCTCCTCCTCCTACTCTCCCCCAGTGCAGCGGTCCTTGTCCTTCGATACAAGGACGCTAGCTTCCTCATCCCACCACCCACCATCTTTGTTCAATCACCTGCAATTAAAAAGAGTAAACCAATAAGCACAGATAAACAAGAAGTACTTAGAAAGAGATGCAAAATAAACAAAACATAATTACAAAATAACATAGTATTACATGTATTAGAAATAATCTTCATGATCGGGATTAGCTGGATCATAAGTCTCATCATCACTATCAATCATGTCGAAATAATCAACACTATCAGAATGAGCAATGTTGCCATTGTCATTGTCTAAATGTAATCGCTCAAGCATTTGTAAGTCCTTCATATTTTGCACCTCATCTCCAGCGTCCTCTTCAATAACCATTTCATTGTCTACTTCCATTCCGATCGCTTCGGTTAAGTCTATCTCAAACCTCCCTTCTAGTCCCTCTTCTTGAAAGAACTCTCCGTCATATGTGTTTGGGTCTAAGTTGCAATCTTCATCATTTGGGACAGGCACTTTACCGTGTGGCGATACGCTGTGCACAATATCCCAACCCTTAAGATGCCTTTTGGTTTGACACGCATATGGGAGATAATAACCTTGCGTGGCCTGTTGGGCCACAATATAGACATAGTCTCCTGGTAAGACGGAATCCTGTCGAATTTTGACTAGCCCAAGATTAGAATATGTCCGTCTCGTTACTTTAGGATCAAACCAATGGCATTTGAATAAACTTGAGTTCATATATTTTTTCAATTCTTCCATAATACTCGACCTCATCAACGTCGGGCGTAAAAACTCCAAAACTTGTGGTTCTTCGATTGGGCCGACTCTGCTCGTAGCTTATTGTGCGAAAGCGATATCCATTCATGTCATAACCAGAAAATGATGGGATTGGTTCTTTTGAACGGGAGACACCTAACTGGATTACGTGATCTACGACCATGATACGGAAAGAGGGGTTATACCTAGGGTGGCGGTGGAGTTAGGCTAGCGGGGCCATGGTGGGTCGGTGCAGTGGCGAGGCGATGCAGTGCAGGTAGACCCGCAGCGGCGAGGAAGGCGATCAGGGTCACCGAGGTACTCCGGCTCTGCTCCGATGGGCTCTTCTCTACAAAAAAAGAAACATAAAACTGTCCATACAAAATTTCGGTAGCACCTCCCCTGCATGGTGAGGTTTCCAAAACCTGCAAGAAAACCAATGGCACGATGGCCGACATGCACATATATATGAACGACATGATGGACGACATGCACAAGATTATATCTAAAATGATCAAGATGCCCAAGAGGGGGGGGTGAATTGGGCTAATTCTAAATTTCTTCGCAATAAACAAGTCCTATGGTTAGCCCAATTAACCCCTTGTGCCTAGAGAAGTGTTTCTATTGATCTAACGCACAAAAGATTAGCAACCTAGTTCCAATCCTACTCTAGCATGGCAATTCTAGGAATGTAAATGACAATAATTGAAATGCTCAAAGTAAATGCTCAAAGTAAAGAGGAGAGGAAACACGGCGATGTTTTGCCGAGGTATTGGAGAGTCGCCACTCCCCACTAGTCCTCGTTG